GCCAGGTTTATGTCAAAATCAGGTCAACCTAATTTTGACCTGATTAATCCGTATATTTTAAACGGGTTGACATGATTCGAACCCGAACCCGACCTAACTCATTGTAAATCCATTTAACCCATCTATGGCAATATAATTTGCTTATTATGTATGACTGATGTGGTCTTAACATTATTACTTATTAGTTATTACTTCTACTATGGTAATTATTAGTACAGTTCTTAATATTATTATGGCATTATAATAGTATAGTTCTTGCTTTAATTTTTGTATTGAAATTTGAATGGATTTTAGCTAATTTCATTGATGAGACGTGATATGTTATTAGTGAAAAAATTATTTAAAATTTTGGATGAATTATTGAATGGTATATTTAATAGAAATAAACAGATGTAGAAATAGGTTATGTGAGTTAAACAGGTTAAACTGGTCATAATATGTGTTAATTCGAAAATGACCAATTTATTACATATATCAAACAAGTCGGTTTCGAATAACCCTTTTAATAGCTAAGTTAGGTTAAGATTTACACATTTCAAACAATTATTAAATAGGTCAGGTTTGTGTTTTGGAATTTTCGACATAAACTCGAAATCAACTCAACACGTTTGACCTAACCCAACACATTTGACACTCCTACTCTCTCCTCTCTCTGTCATCTCTTTTGCCTTTTACTAGTGATTAGCACTCCTTTTGAACCTTGAATTAGAGTTTGCAATTAGGAAGTTTTTTTAGGGCCTTGAAATAGGATTTTTTTTTCGCCTTGAATTAGGATTTTTTTTTTTTTGAGCAATTTGGAGAACAAACTACACATATACTATTGCTGAACAAGGGTTTTTTTTTTTTGGGGGGGGGGCTTAAATTAGGGTGTTTTTGCATTGTGATTATATATGTCCCGACCTAAACTGACCACTTGAGTCGATAAAAACACAATGAACTAGATATCTTGGAGGAACTGATTCCAAGTTTCTGTATACATTATGCCTGGTTCAAAAAATTAGAAGCATAATAAGATGGATGTCCTTGAATTTTATTGCTACTGAATTTTACTACACTGATTCACTTTATTATATTAATAATTATAGGAAAATGAGTATGAATACAAAAAATATAGGCTCAATCAATGGAAATGGAAGTGGTAGTCCCACTTAAGATGATAATGCTCCTCATTGGGGTTATGTTAATAAAGTAGAAAAAATAGGAGTAGGAGGTGGAAATACTAGATTCCAATGCAATTTCTGCCAGGATGAGTACAGTGAATCATATTTTCATGTTAAGATACATTTATTGAAAATTTATGGTCATGGGATTAGAGTGTGCTCTAAAGTGACTCCCCAAAATCATGTTAAGATGCAAAAGGTAATTTAAGAAGTAGAGAATAGAGTTAAAATGACTATACACAAGAAAGTTCTTTTACTACCTTCCTCTTTTCAAGCCCCTGCAACTAGGAGTATGGAGATATCAAAAACTGAAATATTTATGGAAGATTTTGAGCCAAGAAAAAAGAATGCGACGGGAACTACTGCTTTGGAGAAAGCTTTTAATTTGGGTGCTCGGAAAGAATTGCACTCTCACATTGCACAAATATTTTATTCTGGTGGCTTGCCTTTTCATTTAGCTAGGAACCCATATTATGTGAGTTCTTATACATTTGCTGCCACTAATTTTATTACTGGTTATGTACCACCTGGTTACATCACATTGAGGACCACGCTACTTCAAAAGGAAAGGGCACACGTAGAAAGGTTGTTAAAGCCAACTAAATTGTCAGAGAAGGAAAACGGAGTGAGCATTATTACAGATGGGTGGACTGATTCACAAAGAAGACCTCTTATCAATTTCATGGTTGCATCAGAATTTGGGGCAATGTTCTTGAAAGCTGTCAACTACGAGGGTGAGATCAAAGATAAATTTTTTATTGTGAACTTAATCAATCAAGTAATTACATAAGTTGGACCTCAAAATGTGGTTCAAATAATTATTGATGATGCTCCTAGTTGTTATTCTGCAAGATTAATCATTCAAAATGAATTCCAACATATCTTTTGAACATCATGTGTTATGCACACATTGAATTTTGCCCTTAAGAATATTTGTGCTGCAAAAAATGTTGAGAGAAATGCAGTTACTTACGAGAAATGCCACTGGATTACAGAGATTGTTAGAGATTTAATAACTATCAAAAATTTCATTATGAATCATTCTTTAAGGTTGTTTATCTTCAATGAGTTTATGCTTTTGAAGTTGCTTGTTGTTGTAGACACTCATGTTGAAAAGATTTAAACTCATCAAGCGTAGTCTTCAAGCGATGGTGATTAGTGAGAAATGGTCTTCTCACAAAGTCGATGATGTTATAAAAGCGGCATTTGTAAAGGAAAACATCTTGAGTAACATTTAGTGGGATAAGATAGATTATATACTTTCTTTTACATTGCCCATGTCTTCATTTGGTTTATGAAATGTGAGACACAATGATTGAAAAGGTGAAAACAGCTATATATACACACAAAGTGCTGCCAAATAATGCAAGGTCAATTTTTTATGATGTGGTACATCAAGTTTTAGTTGAAAGATGGACTAAAAGTAACACACCTCTTGTATTCTTTGAGATTATCATCAAAGAACGTGATTAGCTAGCCAATTTGAGGTTTCTTATTCAGTTACACCAAGCTAACTTCGTGCTCGGTCTTTGCTTTGTGAGCATGTACTCATCTAGGTGAGCTACTTTCTTCTCCTCCAGCAAATCCTCCACAAATCACTTTGATCTCCCCCATCTCCTCTCTCATGGTGTCTTTTCTCAATAAATTTACCGAGGTGAACCCTCTGGATGAGATCCTCGATTTGGTCCTTGAGGGCGATGTAATCTTTTATATTGTAACCATGATCACAATGGAACCTGCAAAACTCATCTCCGGATCTTCTGTTGGGGCAAGTCCACATCTTTGTGGGCTATTAGAGGACCTAACAATCTTGAATCTGAAAAAGGATTTGATCAACTAAAGTGTTCAATGGGGTTACTAGTGAAGCAGCTCACACGTAGTTTGGGGCCCAAGCGATCCGTGGCACTCTCTTTTTTAATTCAGCCTTTCTTTAAGTTGTTGGCTCTATTAGTCCAGTTTGGTTAGTCTCTTTTCTTTTTTTCCTCTTGTCTGTCCTCCTAGCTCCGGCGAGCAATGAGTGTATCTTTTGCATTCACGTGACTCAGCATTTTGGAAAGTAACTTAAGTATGGTGGATCCTTTGATAAAGAGAAGATGACCTTAAAGGGTTGCAGTCCTCCCATGAACATTGTGAGTGCTACTTTATTATCGATGTTGTCAATTTGAATGGACTCAATGGTGAATCTCTTGACAAAGCTTCTCAAGGACTCATTTTTGCCCAGCTTCACATTGAGGAGGTAGGTGGGAAGCTTTCGATGTGTACTACATCCTATAAAGTGAGATAAAAAGAGGTATTGAGCTCTGCAAAGGAGCTGATTGAACTGAGCTTTAATTTATTGAAGCAATGCCGAGTTGTTCCCTTTTCAGGATGGCAAAAAAGGTTCAACACATGATTTGATCAAGAATACTATAAGCATCATTAGACTTATAGGTCTCTAAGTGGTCAAGTGGATCTTTTACCCGATCAGAACAACCATCTTGAACTTTGATGGGAGATGATAATTGGAAACGTCTAAAGTGAAGGGCAACTCTGTTGCACCAAGGTTTCCACCGCTTTCGGGATCCAAGCTTTCCCAGTGTTGATTATGTTGTTGAGCTTGTCAATTAACTTCTTGGAACTTTTGTTCTCATAAGTTGTCATTAACTTGAGGACAAGTCACACCGTTGTGGCTCTAATCCTCATTTTCTTAAATCTCATCCCGTTGCTCCTAAACTGGGCACAAGTAGTTGGAGAATCTGTCAGTTCTACTAAACCACTCCTGTCTTTTCTAGTGTCTTCACTCATGTGGTTTCTTTTTTCGGAGGGGTTGGAATCTGCCAGTATGCACGATGTGACCTTGGTCATTCATTTTCATGAGTTTGCTCTGTAGCTAAATCGTTTGACCTGGTTATAGCCATTATTTTTAGGAAATCTGGTAATTTCCCACAAACAGCGCCAACTGATGATGCCTGAGAGTGACCTCAGATTGCTGGCGAAGTTTGCCCACCAACCAACTAAGGGGAGCTCTTGAAAAAGCAAGTCGAATGCCAGAAGGACTCTGGGGTCCGACCCTTTAAAGTTTAAGTCAGAAAGGGAATGAGAAAAATAGAATATTAGGTTGAGTTTTGGTTGCTTACCTACTTGATCTCATGTTCCCACATTTTATAGGCAATTGTGTTATCATTAGAGGGTGTTTATCCCCCTCATTTGAATTGGGGTGAATCCCTAATTATCAATAGTTGAGTGGTAGGGGACTCCTTGTCCAAGTGGGAGCATTAGGCTGAGCTGAATTGGTCAAACGCAGAGAACTGGTGAGTTGGCGGGCTAGAGCTCCACCGTGCTACTCAGCTCCTGTGTCAAACTTGTGCTAAAATTCCCATCATCAAGTATTACTATCGGTCATTTCTAATCCACATTTATTATGTCATCAAACCCAAGCTGGCAACAAGCAAACATTTTAACGAAGAGGAACACATGTTAAGATTGTGTATGAAACTGTTTCACAAATGATGAGAGATTAGATGACTCTGCTCAAAGGTGTCTCTATTTCATGAAAACATATTATTTTTCTCTTTCTCAAGTCTATCATAAAAAGCTGATAATTTACACATTCACAAATCTGAACCTAAAATTAGCTCATTCAAGTATTCAGTGTGAGGAACATGTTATATCAATAAGACGCCTACTTATCTTTTCTTCATCTTCCTTGTAAGTAACTTGATTTAATCAACAAAGCATTAATCCCAACTATTTGAGTTCGGTTACATGTGTCATGTTTCTCCAAAGCCATCATTTCTGATAACCTTGGGCTATCATTTTTTTTTTATACTTTGCACCCATATGTAAGCAAATCACTCTTCTTCACTTGTGCATTATTAGGTCCTGTTAACCAAACATTCATGTTAATATCCCCATATTATGCAACATATTTTTTTTGGCGTTTTGTTTCTTAACTATCCAACATTTTACTGTAAACCAATATATTGATTGTCTTATAAAACTTACCTTTCAAGCTAACAGCTTCCTTTGATCAAAAAAAAAAAGCTAACAGCTTCCTTGTAACTAAGTGATATAAAAAATAACTAAAATGACACAAAAGCTATAGGGGATATGCAACACAAGTCTAAATTCATTAATTGCTACAATTCTGAATTTTATTCTGGTCCCAATAAACAGAACAGATACACAACTCAGAACATGTTAGATAGGGGTTATATAGAGGAGCACTATGAAGCAAAAAAAACTAACCTTGCATAGAGGACACTTTACTGAGGAAGGTGGGCAAGAATGTTTGCTAGCAGCTACTTTGAACCAATGTACAATGCATTTGTAGCAAAACTTATCTGCAACCAATGAGTAAGAAGGTCAACCCTTGCTGCACCAACTAATATACACTCATACATACATTTTTTTCCATCCATATCATTGTGTACATTTTATTTATCCAAAGAATTCATCTCAAAACTGTTTTTTTTCAGTGCAAAACAAGCCATATAGCTTCTGATTTATGCTTACATCAAACATCTAGCAATTATTAACAATAACGCTATGTTACTAGAGCTTTGGACAGATTGATTTAGGAAAACAAAGTAAAATTTCATAAATCTTTAGGGGGAAGAAAGTGTGATTCAACCTAATAGCAATTATGAGTAAAAATGGCAATCAATATTTTTCTTTTTTTAGTTCAACAGTTAAGGGTGTCACAATCAACTTACGCACACATAATCCTTGGTCCAGTCAAATACAAATCATGAGACTAGGGATTAGGGTATTATCCCTCTTGGCCTGACAAACAGCGCATCTTTATTACCACTTGAGTTAGTCATAGAGTTACTACTTTACTTTTACTTTTCCTTTTTCTCTGAATCTTCCCATTTTTTGGGAAGAAATAATTCACAAATCCTTCCATTTCTTTCCAGTTACCGCCTCTTAAAAACCCTCAAAACAAATTATTGAGTTTTCTTTTCCTCCTATTTCTGTTCTAAAGTGCTACAGATGCTATTTTTATCGAAGGGTCACATACTAGAATGCCAACCAAAATTCAAAAAAAAAACCTAGAAAAACAAATTATTTAAACCAATTAACTAAGCACAAAACAAGGAAGAAATCAGGTTTCGGCAGCTTTGGGAATGAATCTGCGAACATAGAAACATATACAGACACAAAGATACACACGTGGGGAGAAACTAGAAAGAGAGGCGGGCGTACGGAAACATCGATCTAAATAGGACTCTTGAATAATGGATCCAAGGCAAATGGGGCAAGGGTTTGAGTCGGACGCAGAGCTGCTGCTGTTGTTCTTATGCTCCATCATCATGTTTCCTCCATCTTCAGCCATTTGTTAGAGGAGAATTGTACTAATACCTAAACCGCAGTATTTTAGTTCAGTTTGATGATTGAGAATCTATTTCGACGAACCTTGAGCTTGGTGTTTGGTCCAGGTGGAGAAGAACAAAATGTGGTACCATTTTCCTTTGCAGAATGCCATCTTAAATTTTGTTGGACTCGTATCTAATCTCTATAATAAAATAGGACACGTTTTGAATCTTTAAATTAATACGGTTGAGATTCACTCGATCTAAAAGCAAAAAATCATTATCAAAAAACTTTTTTTTCCAAATCAATTCATATTTATTCACGTTAATCAGGATTAAATTTTCTCAAAAGTTAAAAGTTTCACTTATTTTTAACATTTTTACACTAATCAAGATCAAATAAAGTTTTTTCTCTCCTAATTTTTTTTTTAAATTGTGAAACAAGATTAATTTTAAATTGTATAATTATAAAAAAATAAATTATTATTTCATCTATCTATATTCAATCTATATTTTACTCTATCATTTTATAATTAAATATATAAATTACTATCATATCCTTATACCTTTAAATCTTCAAATTATTTATAACTTCTTTTTTAAAAACTATGTATCATTATATTTTCAACACAATATTCAAATATTCTTCAAAAATTACATCAATCTAATATTACTCATATCATATGCAAATATAACATTATGCCTACAAACATATATTTTATTTTTCATCAAAAAGTTTAATTCTTTCATTTCTAATCTATACTACTAATAAAAATATCTTAAAATGAAAAACTTTTGAATATTTATGTTACCCTTATATAGAATTGTGAAGACCAATTTATCTTTTCACAATTAAATATCAAAATTACTATCATATCCATATATTTTTAAATCTCTAAAATATCTATAACATCTCTTTTAAAAATATGTGTCATTATATTTTTAATTAAGTATTCAAAAAACCTTCAAAACTTCATCAATCTAATATTACTCGTCTCATATGCAAAGATAACATTATGCTTACATATTTATATTTTTTTAAAAGTAATTTATGTTATATCAATATAATTATTTAGTCACAATAAATTTTCTAAGTTATACTAAGATTTTACATAAAAATAAATATTATAGTGTATTTTTAAGTAAAAAATTTTAAAACTTGATAATATATATTATAAAGTAGCGTATTAAATCTTATCCCAATTGACCTAATTAATTTATAATTATAGTAAGGTTCCAATGTGATTAGTATATTGATAATTACTTTTATTTTATTCAAGGAATTATAAGTGGAATTTTAATTAAATAAATCTCAAAAATTTTAATTTCTCAAACATCACTAAAAAATCAATCGCAACTACAAAATTCTAAATAATAGAACTTTAACTATTTTTTTTATCTTTTTGTTATAGTTAGAACAAAGAATTTTGGGAACATGTAAAGTTTTCATAATCGTATAATAGAATACAAGTACTAAAAAATTAAATTTGATAAATTTGAGATGATATTTAATTCAGATGCACATATACATAATATGCTTTATTAATATTTGTGTACAAAAATTATTCATGTCCGTTACACATGGTGCATTACTAGTTCTAATAAGATAGAAATAATTGTGAATCCTTAATTTAGCCTACCACAAGAGTGGCTACGATTCATTCAATCAAATGACTCAAAATCATTTCTAGAATTATTTTTCCCAAACTTGAAAACTCCAATCAGTCCATTCATTTTCACGCTAAACAAAGTTAGAATAAGTCGTCTCTCTCCTATCTCTTTTTTATCTTTTTATTAGGGGTGCTAAATAATTTCATTTTTAATTGTAGGATTTTAAGGAAGACTTGTTGAATTTTAATCCGAATTTTTGATAGATGTTATTTTTTAATTATTAATTTTTTTATACTAAATCGTGCTTTTAAGCACGAGCAATTTCTAGTTTATTTATAATCGTGAGAGTATACAATGGTATTTAATTGATATTTATTAAAAATTTTCCTTGTTCTGAGATTACTAAATTAATTGAACATAAAATAAATAACACAATACAAAATGAAAAAGAAGCTTTCTACTTCTTTACAAAGTGTCATAAAAGAGGGTGGTTATTTGGTTGTATAATTGAGTGGAGAGAGATGGTGGGAAAGACCATTACAAGTTGATCATCAATTTGTAATATTATTTTACAACATTCATCCATGAATGACTACTGAAAGTGCATGAAATTACTATACATGATTAGACATTTAATGATTCAAATTTTGTACACGCACGTGACAAAGATGACATGACTGGCATATGGATTACTTAGAATATCGACCGAATAGACTAGATCGAGCACATGACAGCGTGTTCAGGAACAACTTTGCCCTGACCAATCAAATGTGTTCGGTCGAATAGGGCAAACCATACTGTGTTGTCTAACAGTTCGAGTCAAGTAATAAGAGCACATAGAATCCTGCTCAGCTTAACAAAGAGGAAGACTACGCTATCCTAAAGAATCATAGGACGCGGCTAGCTTGATAAGGAAGTTACCAAGCTTAAAAGAACTTTGGTGATATATGTTTTGTTCTCTCGCCTTCGATATATCCTTCCTTAAGCTTTGTGATACAAGCTACATTGCCATTGTATAATATTTGTTGGAATGCCTTTTATTGAAGGTAGTTTGTGTGTGTGTGTGTGTGTTGTGCTTTTGGGTACAAAAATCAAAATATAATAGCCTTATTACGTAAGGTCCTTCTACTAGGCTATTATTACCTAAAAAGAAACATCATTGGTACTAGATCAAGTCACTTAGAATCGAAAAGCATCCCCTCATCATCAACCTTATCATCCTCTCCATCCTCCTCCTTATCTGGAGCATAGTCGCCACTATTGTGCTCCATCATCATATTAAGAGATGTAGCAGTAATGGGTGCATATCCTGTCTCATCAGTAGTAAAAGGTGCAGACGTAGGTGTTGGAGTCCCTTGGAAATGTCTCTCCTGGGAAAGCACCCTCAAAGAGTCTCCTCATAATCCTCATACAAGCATCCACCTTTGTCTCCACCCTATCTTGAGATCGCCTAACAACCCTCACATCATTCTCTATGCCTCCTAGCCTCTCCTCCAACTTGAAAACTCTCTGATGCATAGTAGTCCGAGAGGTAGGACTAGTCTCAATTTCAACAACAGTAGAACTAGCAGTCTTATCTCTACTCATAAAACCTCTTACCTTGGACATAGTGGACCTCTTCTTCTCACTCCAACTGCTAATGGGTCCAACATCAGAAGTTAGAAGAGATGCTTTGATGCTAGGTTCTTCACCCTAGCTCCCAGACATAATTTGGTAATCATACTACCAAATGGCATGTTCCCCTTCGACTTCCTCATTGCACAGTTGTCTCTCAACACACCCCAAATCATCAGGGCTATGTCGATCCTTAACCCTACCATAATCTCAAATAAAAGAACAATCTTAGGCTCACCAAGTTGCTTCTCCGAGCCCTTGACATAAAGATTATAGTGAAGGATCTTGTTCATCATCCTATGCTCGACATCTAAAAACCCATGCACAAAAGTACTCTTGAATTGCTCAGGTCAGCCATACATCTCTACAACATACACATCTGCCTCCTTCACCACATACTCAAAATAAGGATAGTCAATCTCAGAGGGATTAGGCCTCTTATAGCTTAGATACTTAGTTATTGTCGCAGGTGTGACCTCAATCACCTTACTAGGAATTAGTGGTCCTCAAAATCTACAAATCACTATCAACCACAGTCAAACCGTGTAGAACTCATGGTAAAAGGATAAAATATAGGCCTCAATTGGCTTGAAAAGAAATTGTGCCCATAATCCAAAACCTTTCTCACAGTTGTGCTATTTCCCAAACTACCTGCATCGACCATTCATTCACACATCACCCCTCTTTTCTCTGGAGTCTCCTTATACCCAAATTCCTTCCTCTTTTTGGGCCCAGGAGGCTCAGACTCATCCTCACTCTCAAAAATCACCATTGGCCTCTTGTCTTTCTCCTCAGCTGAAACCTTGCCATTAGTCGAACCCTTGGCCTTGGCTTGGGTTTTCCCTTGGTTACCTATAGTCCTAGCCATGCCCACAACCATCATAGATATCATAGAGGTAAATAATATCATGCCAAAAATCATAGAGAACCATGATTGATCAACCGGAAGGTTTACTAGTCTAAGAGCCATTTCCAAATATCAAAGAAAAAGCCAAGATGATTGAAGATAATGAGTGATTTGGAGGGTTTAGAACTTAGGTTGGGGTTTTTCGAAATTCAAGAGAGGGTTTGAGATCTTGGGTCTTTTGATTTTGCAAGAGTGAAATGAAATAACCATTAGGATTCCCCTTTTAAAACTTTCAGACCAAACAAAGTTCTGTCGGTAGGAAGCACTATTCGACCTACCGGTGGCTCTGAAAAAAAATTAAAAATTCCGTAATTTTTTTTTCTTTTTTAGAACTAAATTAAAAACTAACTTAAACCTAAATCCTAATACTCAAAAAATGTACCCATTAAAGTCTTAAACAATATTCCATAAGTGCCAAAAACTTTAGAGTATGCAATGCAATTTATTTGACAAAAGAACATATACAATGCAAAGGAATTTAAAGCATAATAAAAAAACCTAATGAATACAAAAATGAAATTAAAACACTAAACCACTTTCATAGGCAAAACGATTGCATTTAGCCTATGCAACAAATTGTTCAACCCCTAGGTTACCTCTAGTGTTCAAGTGTTGTCTCGTGAATGTTTCTAGAGAAGATATCTACAAACTTCAATTCATCTATCTAGAATTTAAAATTTTAACTAATCACTATGAAACTAGAGATACACCACATCTACCCAAAGTTAATTCACACAGGGCTCTACAAACAGACTTAAGGGCTATGCAAAAATATTCACAATCATGTTAGCATCCAATACTTGTGTGTGTGATATAATCATGTAATCCAAGGCTAGTTTCAATGTCAATCTTACCAAGGTTTTCACACTCAAAAAAAAAATTCTCTGACTA